GTTTGGGGAGGAGAGTTTCAATATAGATTTTGGGAGAAAGGTCATGAACTGGTGAAAAAGCACACAAGCCTTGGCCAGCAACACAATGGGATAGTACTGCAGTCACCAAGTCCCACTGCAGTCACCAAATCCCACTGCAGTCCCCTGCAACAAACGCTCTCCATGACTAGCCCTCTCCATGTCACCCCTCCCTGGGCTGAATCAGACTTATTAACAAGAATGATTTTACAGTACTTCCCCAAGATGACAAACACTGCTATACAGACAAATAATTGTCACAAACTCTAATAAATAAGAGGTTTCAATCATAATTGCCAAATACCCAGAGATCCAAGTGTGCCAAGAGCTAATGACAAATCTAAAGAAAAAGCACAGGTTGTGTGTGTGTGTGGGGGGGGGGGTCATGCTTAGAAGGAATATTCAACAAGTCTAAATAATAGAATGTATCTGAAAAAAATTAACGAAAGAATTCAAGGGATTTTTAAACATCATCAAAATAGCTTTTCCATAAACTTTCTCAAAAGAAAAGGGTCAATTTTTAAATGAAGGCATTTTGTTTCAGCAGATGGTGATTAATTCCTCCCCTCCAACTAAGTCCAACATCTCTACTAATAGTAGACTGACTTACTACCTTCCAGATAAGGAGTTTTTAGCAATGCATTCACTTATTTAGGAAGTTCAGAAACACTAAAAGGTGTCAGGCACAGAGTGAGGCACTGGGGATATAAAAATAAAGAGGCAGACTCTGAGCTCAAGTTGCTTACCAGGCAGGTAACATAAATGGGTAAATACTGTACTGTGGAACAAGTGCTAATAAAGGTAAACTGAGAGGTCATTAAACTATGAAAACAAAAACTGAATAGAGATTTGAGAGGTGGTTCTAATCAGCCAGAAATATTGGCATAGTCAAACTATAAGAGGTTGAGAATACAATAACTGACAATTTCCCAGTATCCCACTGAGATAGAAAACATCATTAATCTCTCCCATTACAAATTAATAAACTGAATTACCCACAATCACCCAGCCAAATAGTAGGCTAACTAGAACTAGAAACACAATTACAGGCCACATGATGCTTTTCCATTTTAAGAGGTCAATATATTCTCCTTTCTCAACTGTCACAATTGCGCTTAAAACCCAGTTCGAGTCAACAAAACTGGAGAAATACTACACAGAAACAAAGCAAAAAGCTACCCATGAAAAAATTAAGTATTTGCCTATGTAATATTTTTAGGGTTTTAGCATCTCCACTTCAGTGGGCACTTAGCTCTACTTCACATTTTCCAAGGAAAGGGAGGGGTAGCAACCTTCATCTTTTGGGATCTTGTCTGAAAAAGTATCCTACCCTATTTAGGTAACTCTACAAACATCTCAGGCAGCGGCACCATGGGTATGGCGTCCAAATTAACTGCATGATGTATCAAAGAACTCAGAGTTAAGTATTTACTCACTTGAATAACATCTCTTCAAACAGCTGTGAACAGTTTTGTTAGGAATGATACACTAAATGCCACTTTAAGACCTCAATAAGACTATACCCTTGACTATACTAAGGTTCTTAGGTATCATAGTCTTAAAAAGCAAAAAACTTTTCAATGAGAATGCATCTCTAAGATAAAAAGGACTTAACATTCCAACATTTGCTTTAAAACGTTTTTTTCAGGGGCACCTGAGTGGCTCAGTGGGTTAAGCATCTGACTCTTGGATCTCCACACTGAACGTGGAGCCTACTTTAAAAAACTAAAAAAATAAAAAAGTGTTTTTTCCAGGAAAACATCTATTTGCAAATGAAATAAAAATACAGACTACAGTGCTGCCTTGTGCTTTTATTCTAAAAATTCTTCAGGGCAAGAGATAATGTATATTCTGCAAGTGCTCAAATTATTAGCTGAAGTGCATGCTTATATATTGTGCAGTATCTTTACATCTAAGTAATTAAAATCCAGTGACTGATGTCTTAGGACAGGGACTGATAAACAAACTACAACCTTCAACCACAGCCAGTTCTTATAAATAAATTTTATTAGAATACAGCCCCAAACATATTATCTATGGTTGTTTTCATGCTACAATTTGCAGAGCTGAGAGAGACTACATGGCTCACAAGCCTAAATATTTACTATCTGACCGTGAACAGAAAAAGTCTTGTCGACCCCTATCTTAGAATCATCAGACTAACGACCAGACAAATTATATCTAGCTTAAGAGTTTATCTAGCCTGTTAGATGAACTACTGAATACAATGAAAGAGAATTTTTCTCTCAAACATCCAAGTCAACACCCACACGGAAACAAACCTCGCTGATTAATTCCAAGTCATAAAATTGTCAATCCTGACTACAAGCTATATTTAAAAGCAAACAGTGGATTTAGTTTTACCCTTTTAAAAACTGTGCTACAATAATAAACATAGAAACTCACTGTACTTTCACGGTCACTTGTATTGTTAACCACCATCAGGGAACCATACAAGTTATTCTCTCAGTCTTTTAACTGGCATCCAAGAACCCACACAGAGTGAACTAGTAAACCAAGTAGGACACAGTCTAAGGGTCTGTTTTCACTTGTTCAGACAGAGAAGGGATGGTAAGTGGAACATCCAAAATCTCTCCTCCCAGATGTATTTAGTCTCTTCTATGCTTACTAGCCTAAAAATTTCAAAGCTGATGTATGTCATATAAAAGAATTATACCCAAGTAACTCACGTCGGCTCTATTTGCCATTCTTACTTTATTCTTTAAAGTAAGCAGTAGACCCAACGTGGTGCTTGAACTCACAACCCAAGATCAAGAGCGGCATATCCCACTACCTAGCCAGGCGCCTCTCTCTTTGCCATTCTTAAGAAAAATCAATAAATAATAAACTAATACTTTTATTTGCTGTAAAAGTTATATTTAAGAACTGAAGTCTATTAAAAAATCAGGGATTATATTTTTACATATCATTCTTAACAGAACTAACTCAAGCACGTCAAAACAATACAGAAATCGACAAATCATTTATTTACCAATTATTATTTTTCTTCTGGTTAACAAAATAGGAGATAATGCAAATTCCTGAATAAATACAGTCAACTCCTGAATGGCCTCTGCAGGATACCCGACGTGCTTAACCGAAGTGCATCAATAAAAGAGCCTGGTACCCTTGACAATACCAGCGCAGTCACAGGTTGTAAGGTTATGTTCACATAAATCAAGCATTTAATAAGGTTGACAGGATGCCAAAATGATCAGAAAACAAAGTAAAATAAATGATTTTCTAATTACTCATACCATTTCCCCCTTCGTCTCTGGTGTTTTCCCAGCTATTTTGGATGAAAGTAAAACGGGAAAAAAAAAAATTTAAAAGTACAATCAAGTGACAACCAGTTTACCACAGATTACCAGATTTACATAAAAACCGTATTTTCTGCTTTTTAAAAAGAAAGAAGTCAGTTTTTGATCCTATTCCTCACCTGCTGGATATTCACAAGACAAAGTCCTAAAGAACCTTCAAATCAAAGTAATTTTCTCAAGGCTCAGTTTTCTTATGAACTTGACTCACATGAGCTACAAATTTATGTAAGCAGGAGGGGCAAATTACTACTAGGACTAGGACTAGAAAGTGCGGGGGCAATCTTAAGAAGGTACCCTGACGAAAAAAATGGAAACCCCACCCAGCTCTTCACTTTCTCGGCTTTTTCTAGTCCCGGTTTTCTGTGCAAAATCCAGAAAAGCAGAACTTCCTCCTCACTGTCTGCCTCTGTGTGAGGCCTTGTGCCGAAATTCAGACCGCTAGCTATCCAAGCACCTTCTTAACGTAGTCTTAAAGCTCGAGTCCGCTCAGAAACAGCAAAAAGGTTTGCTTTCTTGGGTTAGAGGAGAGCAATTACAGGGTTTGGCGGCCGTGTTTGTCAGGAAGGGTAGGGCCGAGAAAGAGGGAGAATCCAGAGATTGAGCTCCATCTAGTCCCAGGAACCACCCCCAGGGGCGGCTAGACTGCCCTCGGTACTTCCCTGCCTCCTCTGCTCGGGAGGGGAGAGCGGTGGGTCGGGGTCTGGCTCCCCTGAGCTACTTCCTGGTCCGATTGGACTCGCCTTCGGACACCCGAAACGCCCCCGGCCCGGCTCCCTCGCCCTTTGCCCTGTCTCCTCCCCTCCCCTCCCAGTGACCCACCACCACCGGTCCCCTCCCATCTAACATGGCCGCCCCACCCGGCCCACCCCCGGCACAGCCTAACAAATTGGGGGGCCCGCGGCACCGCCTCCCCCACGTCCATTGGCGCAGCGGCCTTCATCCGCCGGTCCCATTGGACGGCGAGGCCTGCCACTCCGCGCTTAGGGCTCCGCCTACGAGCCGCTCCAAGCTGCTTTGAGAAGACATATAAACAAATCCCGGAGGGAGGCCCCTCTCGCCAGTCCCTGGGGCGGAGACGGGAAGGGGGAGCGGCTACCCCAGAGACACCCCTGCCTGCATCCCTCCCAACCCCCAGCCAGCGCTTCCTCGTCTCCTGCCTGCCCAGTTTCAACCTTCGCGGCCCCGGCCCTTCCTCACACGCCCCTCTCTCTCCTCCCCCGCCAGCCTCGCCTCCCCTCCCTTCCCCGGCCCCTCCCACCCGCTCGCTTCTCTGACAGGCCGGTAGCCGGCAGCCACGGCCCCAGACTCGGAGGCAGCAGTTAAGGTCCGGGCGGCCTGGCAGGACAGACGCCTGGCGTTGCCCACCCCTGGCCTAGCCTGCCGCCCACCCGTGGGTCCCCCCTACAGCCGCGCTGCGCTTTTATATAACCGTCCCGGGCCGGGGGTGGGGGAGGGGAACCGGAGACCCCGTGACCTGCAGGAGGCAGCCTGAGGCCCGCGCGCCCCCCCAGACTCGGCCCTGGTCCCGGCTGCCCCGCGCCCGCCCGGCTCAGAGCCCCGGTGCTGCTGCCTCGTAGGCCAGCGGCCCTCCTCCGCCCCCCGCCCGGCTAGTCCCCCAGCCCAGGCCCCTGCAGGCTCCTGGCGGAGAGCAGCAGAGCTCACCTGTGGGTGTGGGGGCGGCTCAAGGGCTGGGTCCGGTTCCGCTGCAGGGGCCGCGGCCCCTCTCCATGCTGCCTCGGTTTGTTTTGTTTATGTCCTTCCTGACGGGTTCCCGGAAATCGCGTGACTCGCCCCCCTCACGTGGGCCGCGGCGAGGAGGAGGAGGGAGGCGGGGGCCCGCCGGCCTCCGGCCAATCGGGAGGCGTTCCGCAATCCGGCCAATCAGGAGCTGGTCCCGGCTGGGCACCCCTGTCACATGACACCGGAGGGGCGGATTGCCGGGAAAAACCAGGAAGAGGGGGCGGAGCGGGGGCTCGGCGCCTGCCACTGCAGCGTGGGCGTGGGCCGTCTTTGATACAGAGCCACACTCACGTTTGTAAAGGAGGTTCGTTTACAAAAACTCTCCCATGCAGCATTTAATCTGATCTCACAACTGCACGGTGAGGCCCGAAGTGTCGTATACCCACTTATATTTACCTTTATGCCCATTTGCATTTACATTCTAAGTTAGTGAAACTCACGGGAACCGAGGGCACTGACTTGAGAGGGATTGCATCAACTTTCTGTTTTATGTATGTCTTCCACATCTGAACCTCTTAATTCGCTGAGACTGACCTTGCCTTCAGTCATTCGTTCATTCAACTAGTATTTACTGCGTACGTAAACCCGAGACACTGGGATCGGTCAGATTGCGTGCACCTTTAAGAGAAAGAATACCTGTACACTACTGTACAAACAGAATGCTACCAGAAGCGCCTAGCAAACCTTCCTAACACATGTGCCCGAGGTTTCCTTGTGCTCCCTAATCCTGTTAACAACAGCGACCTTCTGCTACCGAACGTGTACTATGTAGTGGGCTCATCATCTCATTTAGTTAATCCTACAGGTACACTCAATGGTAACATGCCTATTTTTGCAGATGGGGAAATTGAGGCTCATAGGGATTACTCGCTCCCGGTCAGGAAGCTAGTAAATGAACCAGCCGGGCCCAGAACCCAGGTCTGTTGCCACAGCCTGCTCTTTATACTTCTTAAGGGCACAGAATTTATCTTCTGAGCACAGAACAGAAATAATGACTTTAGTAAGCATGAAGAAAGTTGGATTAGAGCACAGAAATGCTTGGCCAGATTCCCTCAGGATGCCAGTTTTCTCAAAGGAGTGACTGCCTTAGAAATTGTTGCTCTCCTTTGCACAGATCTACGGAAGTAGTATAGTGTTAATGTCAAAACCATGGACTTTGGAATTAGAAGACTTCTAAAGATCCTAAGTTTCAAGAGGGCAGAGATTGGCCCTGCTCTTTCTCCTCTGCCTTTCATGCCTGCCACACAGGCAATCATTAAATACTGGTCAAATAACAGCCTGGATATGAATCTTTGCTCTACCACGTGTTAACCAGCACAAATTATTTAACTCCCGTAAGGCTCCTCTGTAAGTAACTCATAGGGTTGATTTGAGAATCGAGTGGAAAATTTCATATAAAGCACTTACCACAGTGTGTCGCATAAAGTGGGTATTTAATGAATGGTAGTATTATTAGATTGTTTCAAAGACATCATTTAGAAGACATACTGTAAGCTAAATAGCAAGTAAGGATAATTCTAGACTTTACCTGTTTAACTGCCACTAAAATACTACTTAGGTAAACAGTATTAATAGGTGGTTATATGTAGATACCTAAGGGGAAAATAAAGTAAATCCCACCTCTGCATCCTTCAAAATTCCTTAGGGTCTCAGCACCCAGTGAAGGAGTATTTTCCCTACTGCACAGAAAGTAGCAGGATTATCATTATTTTCTTTTTTAAGTCTAACATACCACATTCTAATTTTCCATATGGACTGGAGTTTAAAATTGAAACACCAAAAGAAAAACTGGCTTGGGAAGTTTGAGCCAGTGTCCTTTTACTCGTTCATATTCGATTCTTGCATTAAATCCCCATGGGATACCATACCAAGGATCCTTTCTCATAATACCTTGTTTGGAAAAACTCCAGCAGGTGGCTAGCTCTTCAACTGTTCCACTGCCCTTTTGGCGGTCATTTTCATACTTCTGCTGGGCAACAGTCTGCTTGGGTCAAGGACAGCCTGATTCTTCTAGCACGTGGCTCTGCCATTGAAGGAGCTTACTAGTGAATTATGATGGATTCCGCCTTTGCATCTTCCCTTGTCTCAGAAAGGACAGTGTTAGCTAATGGAGACCTTCCCATCATGGTTAATGACCATATTCTGCTCTGAAGTGAATGAAATCACTGACTACTAATTCATTTGTGTTTCTCTGGGTTTTATTCTGCCAGACTGTGCCAAAGTAAAAACTGGCAGGACTGGGACTGTGGAATAGCACTGGCTTGAGGTACAGGAGCTCTTCTTGTTCTAGCCACAAAGTAGTAACCAACTGCCATCACCTCTTCCAAAGTGCTTAACCTTGCTTCTGCAGAATCAAAAGCCTGAACCAAAAAATGTGCTACACAAACATGACAGAATGGGGGAAACAAAGCAATAGTTAGGACTCCACTGAACTCTTAAAAATAAATTATTTATTTTTTGATTGAGTAACATATACACAGCACAAAATTCAAAAGGTACAAAAAGATATTCAGCGAATATTAAATCTCTCTCCCACTCCTGTTCCCTGGCCATTCATTTTCCCCTCTTAGAAGCAACCAGAAATACCCATGCTCCATGTATCCTCCCAGTGGTATTTTCTGATACGCTGACATTTCATATCCTTTAAACCTTGAGGTATTCAAAACGCAGTTCTTGGACCCAACACTTCAATTTGAGCTCTACTTACTATGAGATCCAGGATGAGGGGTGGGACCTCGCAGGGTTCCACTTTCTTCCCTTTCTTCACCACAAGAAATCTGGACTTGAAGTGGATGTTCTCCCCAATCTTCTAACTTTTAACATTGAGTTCTCCTGAAAATTAAAAGAGTTGCTACAGGTCCTAACTTTCCTTACAACCTAAAGTTTGCAGTTCTTCATTAGAGCACAGACTGAGCCCTGCCTGCTGATTATGTACACATCTAAATGAGTGTTAACCTTTTGAGTCTAAGTGTTTTCTTTCTGCACCCCTCTGGACCTGTGTGATACCTTAACATTTCACAGCTTCAGAAGTGAGATTAATTAACTCAAAGCTGGAAGATCTCCAGGAAAAGCTGTGCCCTTCTCACACTTTTAAAAACTGATTTTCTTCCTGAGGAGACTGGAGCATTGCGGAGGGTGAATCTAAAAGATACTGATGGTTGGCAATTGGCACCCATCCCTCATTCACCTCTCCTAGAAAATATTCTTTGGGGGAAGAAGAGTTCAGTTTTTCCCCTTGCCTTAACCTCTCAATGGGATGGAGTACTCTTTATGTAACAGCTCTGAGCTTTGGTTTCTTACTTTTGGAAAGCACCAAGTTCAGCCCCAAGGTTCTTCTCTAGTCTATCCATTATTTATTTACTCCAATTCCTCACTCCCCATAGGCAGAACTAGGTAACTGCTGTGGTCCCAATCCTCTTAGTCCTCCATGACTCAAGATCCCACATCTTTTATTTTTTTTAAAAAAGATTTTTATTTATTTATTCGACAGAGAGAGAGAGATCACAAGTAGGCAGAGAGAGAGGGGAAGCAGGCTCCCCGCCGAGCAGACAGCCCGATGTGGGACTCAATCCCAGGACCCTGAGATCATGACCTGAGCCAAAGGCAGAGGCTTAACCCACTGAGCCGCCCAGGTGCCCTGACCCCACATCTTTTATGAAGTCTATTTCTACCATGTCTATTACTACCCTCATTAATATCCTTTCCTCTACAACCCAACTGAGCACGTAAAGAACCTGTTGCTTTGTACTGTTCATATCATGTGTGTTATTATGCCCTCAGTTAAATCAAGTGGTATACCACTACTACATTTGAATTATGGAGAATGCAAGGCATGTCACTAGATAGCATAATCAAGCTTGTGTTTCGTGATGGATTAGGGGAATAAAAGAGACAGAAATAAACTGACATCTGAGGAGTGTCTAACGTGTACATGAAGACACAGTCCTCACCCTGGAGGAACTCAGAACCTGAAGGAGAGTGACATGGAAAGCTTACAGTACAACAGAGTTTATAAGAGAGGAGGCCCTGTTGCAGGGGTTAACAACACAATACCTAAGTGTTTCCAGGCCACTTTCTTGCTAACTTGTTTGGGCAAGATACTAACTTGACTGTTCTTGATTTCTGTCGTGCATCAGATTGATTCTGAATATCAAATGCAGAACCTGATGAATCACAGTGCTCAAGTGTTGGTCCCCCCCGCCTCCCACCCCTCACTGACCTTCCAGGGAGGAATGTGACCAGAAGCTTCTTAGAAGAGAAGCAGCAGCAAAGGGAAAGTAACATGGCAAGAGAAGGCAGCCAGCAACTCAGACTGCTTTGTGACTCCATTATCTTCCAAGGCAGCATTCCTATCAAAACTGTTTTGTCTGTTTCGCTATGAGTGAAAACTTCTAGGACAACTAGTAGCTCCTGTGGGGTTTTGTTTTCTGGCTTGGTTTTGTTTTTTGTCAGCACTGAGCTGAACATACACTGTTAGTATCAGCAACTCTTAACTGATAGCAAGCCAGGAAGCCAGGGAGTGAGAACAATCTAGCATTTGTTGTAGCAAATACTCCCAAAGGACAGGTACAATAAGACATTCTTGTTGGTGAGGCCCGAAGTAGGCCGATAAAAACAGCAAGTGGAGGAACAGATCGATAAGCAGCAGGAACCAAGACCTGTAGTTATGATAACAGTTTGTTGAACTATACAGATGGAGACACACTCCGAGAGCACAAATCCAGTGTAAAACTACAAAGCTGGATTTCCACATCCAGGAAGTGAATAGTCCAGAGGGGTTGCTAAGAGAGAGAAGTAATAATAAAAAGTTCAGAGAACAAAGAGTGAAGTTGGGGGGGGGTGTCCTTGTATCCACGGTTTTTGTTTTTCCCACAAATTCACGATGTCATCAATTTCCCTCGTGCAACAGCGAAACCAGGAACGGTGGCCGCCAGTGTTGAGTTTTCCTCCTGTCTTCACAGGGCTCAGCCCAAGAGTGAGAGGTATAAAGAAATAGTTGTCATACTCTGCACCTGTTTTCACACACCAGTCGGCAGTGAGACATAAAAGCA